AAGGCCCCGTGTGTGAAATCCATTGAAATCACGATGAAAAGATGCGACTCTTTAGCGCCGTGTAGTTCAGAGGAAGTATTGCAGCTACGGTGGCTCACTCATGAGTTTGACTGTATGATCAATTTCCAACCTGTGTAGCCTAACCCACACAAAGCTTAAAACAAGCTACTCAACCTCTTTAACAAGTATTTATAATTATGACTGTTTTATCAGCCTACCAGTTCTGAAGGAAGCAAGCTAGTTCTGTTCGTGAAGCTGTCACCATTCACACACGGAGGAGGGGTGACGTCAGCTGGGAGGTGAGGTGTTGTGAGAAATTGTGTTCCCTGAAATATTCTGTCCCCCCGTGTGGGGAGATCACACTTCTGGCTATTTTCACAACATTTGTGATAAACGTTTACGGGAAAACGATGTAATGTAATGTAATAATGTTATGCTTGTGATTTTTTATCTGTATTTCCTCCTAAAAACAATAAAAAGATACAGTAAAAACTTTCTTGTTCACTCTTTTGCAGCAAGCTTATTTATCATTTATGAAAGTTATGTAAAAGGATGTAATCTCACTCAGTTTAACCATCTTTTATTTGAGGTAGTTTAGTCCTCGTAATGGACAATACGTTCTGTGGATTTGGAAATATTTGCTCTTGACTGCCTAAAGGAAATGGAATATTTCAGGGGAACATAATTTCCCACAACACCCGTTTCACATACCAGCTTATATGGATATGGAGCGACCACTGGCTGATCGTTAGCCACGGCTGGTGAAGGAGTGATCAAGATCAAGATCAAGAAGATCGAGTAAACAATGCTGACTTATCAACCAGCTACTTGTGGCTCACGGCTGGCGTGGTGGAGATCAGCGTCACAAGCTACTAGTTAGCCATGGCTAGAGCCGGGGAGACGCTGTGTACACCGTGTGTAAACTCCCACGGATTAATTACCAGCAAAAGGAGACCCAAGTCTAAAGGTAACATTTGAGAAGAAGCCCTCTGAGTTGAAGCGTCTCTGTAACACGTGGAGAACTACGTCGCTATTAGTAAAGTGTTATGGAGATAAGGTAAACAACGCTGATTTAGCCACTGGCTAACGGACGAGCGTGTTGGGCGAGACAGCAGGTTGCAGGAAGAGAGGACACTTGAGTAGAAGGACGTTGGAACGGACACGTTGGGACCGGGTCGGGAGTTCTGGTACTAGGAAAAGACGGATTAACAACTTGAGGTGAGTTTGGGAGTCAGATACTAATCGGAGGCTGGCATCCAGCTAATAGCGGGCGGGGGTCTGAACATATGCAGCTTCCTTGTGTTGGACATGATGACGAACTGAGAAATGTTAGGTGTTTTTTTATTTGTTTTTTTATTCAAACAAGTACAGCAACGGTGCAGCTATTCTTTTCTATTTCTTAGTTGAATTAGCAGACTCCATGTGTCCAGGGTGCACTGCTGCCCTCTTCTGGTTCTTTCAGGTTACAGACATAGTCCAAACGGGTAACGTGGAGCTCGTATGCCCCAAGCCCCCACAGTGTGGCTCAAAAATTGAGGCCAACCCGGAAGTACCAAATATTGCAGTTCCACCCTCATCCGCTAGGGGCTCGTGTCAGAAGCGAGCAAATCCTCATTAACTCCAATGTTAAAAATACCAATTTCACAGCAGAAATAAACATGTTTACAGCCTGGTACCAAAACATGTTTTTGGTTTAAATGATCTAGTTTACACTCATGACAACTTTGATGGGGGTGAATTTTTTTCTCACTCTTCTGTTTAAGTGTATTAAAAGCCTAAAATTCTGTATAACAAGGCTGTGTTCCATCTTACTTTAAAAATGCAGTAGTGACTCCTCTCTTAAAGAAACCCAACCTTGACGCCAGCTCCACCAGTAACTTTAGGCCCATTTCTAAGCTACCTTTCATCAGCAAAGTACTTGAGAAGGTTGTTGAAACCCAACTCAGATCCTGGTTTTCTAAGTCAAAGATCTCTGACCCCTTCCAGTCTGGCTTTCTGAAGCAGCACTCAACTGAGACTGCTCTAGTAAGGGTGCATAATGACCTCCTGATGGCTGCTGATGCAGGGAAATGCTCTGTCATGGTCCTGCTCGACCTCAGTGCAGCTTTTGACACTGTAGACCACAACGTTCTACTAAACAGGTTAAATGACCTGGCTGGGATTTCAGGTTCTGCTCTAGACTGGCTCTCTTCCTATCTCACTAACAGAACATTTACAGTGAAGTCAGAAACCTTCTCTTCAGATACTGCCTCTCTAACATGCGGGGTCCCACAAGGTTCAGTTCTAGGGCCTCTACTATTTGCATTCTATATTCTTCCCCTAGCTGGCATCATTCAGTCTTTCCCAGACATCTCCTACCACATCTACGCTGATGATATTCAGCTCTATATGTCCTTTATGCCACACCAGTTGGACAGGCTGGCCAAACTTGTACTCTGCCTGACCCAGATCAGTAACTGGCTGTCCAGCAACTTTCTTGTCCTAAATGCTAACAAGACAGAGACCCTGATCGCTGCACCCCCGGAACTTCAGCCAAAAATCGAGCAAGAAATTGCCTCTTTTTGCCCATCAGCCAAGGCCAACATTAGAAACCTAGGAGTTATTTTTGATCCAGCTTTAAGTTTAGACTCGCACGTCAAAACCATCTCCCGCTCTTGTTTCTTTCAACTGAGAAACATTTCAAAAGTCCGTAAACTGGTTTCTACTGCAGATCTGGAAAAAATAATCCATGCCTTTGTGTCATCACGCTTAGACTACTGCAACGCTCTTTTTACTGGTCTCAGCAAAACCTCCCTCTCACTCCTTCAAGCCATCCAAAATGCAGCAGCCAGACTCCAAACCAAATCCAGCAGACGAGCTCACATCACTCCAGTTTTACAGTCCCTCCACTGGCTCCCGGTAGAATATAGAATACAGTTTAAAGTTTTAGTCCTGACCTATAGAGCTCTTAACAACCAGGCTCCAAGCTACCTATCTGAGCTTTTATCCCCACACACCACCTCACGGAACCCTAGATCCACATCTGAAAACCTCCTGGCTGTTCCTCGAACCAGACTGAAAACCAAAGGGGACAGGGCCTTTCAGACTATTGCACCCAGACTTTGGAACAGTCTACCTTCAAATCTCCGTCTCTCTAACACTGTAGAGGTCTGTAAAAACCATCTAAAAACTCACCTTTTCATCCAGGCGTTCCCTCCCTAAATGTTTCAAAAAGATGGCTTTGTTCAGGTTCACACCTTCACTTTGTTTATGATTCATGATTTTATTTTCTACGTTTATCACTGCTATTGTTTTTCTGATGTTTTTATTGGTTAGAGGTATTTGCCCTGATCTTTATCATGTTGTACAGCGCTTTGTGATTTATATCTGTGAAAGGCGCAATATAAATAAACTTTTACTTACTTACTGTATAATTAAAGAGCATCAGACCCACGTGACCACAGAGCTAGCTCCATGGAAAGGCCTCAGTAGAGCCTCGGTCTGGCTTGGAAATTGTTCTGGGATTTTGAGTCTCTGTGTTTGTGCGTTCTTTTTTGGATATTTTTTGTACAATTGTTGGACAAAATGACTTGCTGTGGCATTAATTGCACTAATAGAGCGTCCAAGGAGTCTCCACTTCATTTTTTTCGGCAAGTAAAATTATATTTATGTATTTTAGGTCACTGCCGAGCTGAGCTTAGATTTTAACATGTACTGTTTAACCATGAAATGTAAATGTAATAGGGTAAAACCCAGTGCATTTAACATAATGCTGCACTTTAGAAAATGGGTTGAAATATAACATGTTGGTGGAGCTGGGTTCCGACTATCGGCTTGTGGAACTCTCGGGAGACCGATGTTTTCCACCCGGTTCTCCCCTCCCTGCAGCTCTGCGCATCTCTGTCTGATCGCGGCTCGTGACTGCTGCGCGGGCTGCCGGCTTGTGGAGCTCTGGGATGGAAACCTTTCTACTCGGTTCTCCCCAGCGGCAGCTTTGCGCATCTCAGATCGCAGTGGCGCTTGTCTTGTCTGCTGTGCGTCTGCCGGCTTGTGGAGGTCTCTGAGACCTCTGTGTTCCACCCGGTTTTACCCAGCGGTCAGCGTGGCGTATCTCTGACTCAGAAGCTCTGGTGTTGTGCACAGTTTACTCCGGTTGTAGCTAGGTTGCTACCTCCGTTAGCTTAGCTCCCACCTCCGCATTAGCTTTGGGTTAGCTTCAGGTTAGCTTGTAGCTAGTTCGACCGGGTGTCGTCAGTTGATCCCAGCCTTACAGCCCCACCCTCAGCTCCACCTCTCTTCCCTTTTGTGGAATTGTCTGGGCTTGACGGAACCTGTGACACGGTCAAAATGGCGGTGGTGGCCACCTCCCATTTTTCTTCAAAAATGTGTTATTGGAGCCTATGGAAACCCATTGTCCAATATTTATATGTCGATGGTATGTCCCTAAACAGCTACTGTATTTTAAGATGGTGGATGACCATGGAGCCTCGACCACAGTTTATGTATTTGAAAATGTAAAATTTCAAGTTGAGAGGAATATTTAGAATTGATGTTGGTGAGAAATATTAGTGAAAAAGGAAAAGTTTGTGAACTGGAAACACAGGATTAGATAGTTAACAGGTAAAAATATCACACACTGTGCCTTTAACAAAGTTGCCCAATATTGTACTGCAGTGATAACTGTTATGGCTCTGCCCACAAGGGGGCAGTATTAGACAGGTCTATTTAAGAGTAGAGGAGAGTGTCGACGGGCAGATGAAAGACAGCTGGTAAAGAGGAGAAATAAAGACCTTTTGCAAAGAACATGAAACGTCTCGATTAATTCAAGAAACATTACATGTACAACTCCCTGCTGCCAACAGTCACAGAAACCTATTCCTACCTGAACTAAGTGTTTTCTGGATAACTTCCATGTTTTTGTAAGGCTATGCGAGATAAAAAGGAACAAGAATTGCAACAATCACAAACAGGTCATCATTAAGCATGCTTCTATTTTTCTGCATTAATATAAAAGCACTAACATTGTTTTTCTCAAACTTCCAGTTGTCCTCCTGGGTGAGGATCTGCTCGACCACAGACATGGCCTCCCGACCCTGCCTGACATACTCCTTCTCCTGCACAAAGAGGAAGAGGGAAACGTGAGGAGATGAAGAGCAGGGAATCATCAGGTGAAGGCAAATATATCAAAAAGGGTAGATACCTGAGCAGTGATAGCTTTACGACCAAGACCCTCCTCATCCAGATCCTCTTCTGAACCTACAGCCAAAGGATATGGGTAAAATCTCAGAAATGCATAAACACACATGCTAAACTAAGCTCAGGGGTTCAGATACTCACCTGCTAGAGATTCAGGTGGAGAGTAGAACTGTCCATCTGAAACGGGGCGGGGGTAGATCATAGGAGCGCGCTCACAGGCTGCATTCACTGCCGCCAGGTAAGCTGAAGTCAGAAGAAATATGTTAGGAGTCAGTATTGTGATGAGTCATGCCAACACTGGTGTTTAAAGGGGAACTAGGCAGTTTTGGCTTGCTTTTAGCACCCCCTAGTGTCCGTTTGTAGAACAGAAAGCAACACCTATCTACTCGCTGTGCGTTTGTCTTTGTAACACCTTAATCTAGCAGCTGAAACGTCTCCCCAGCCTTCATTTGTGTCTACAGGTGTTGGTAATCACTAAATTAAACTAATCAGCTGTGTTCATGATCTAAAACATGTAGGAAAAGTCTCAACAGGGCGGCCCGCCAGTCTGAAGTTGCAAGTGGGATATTCTGGCCACAGGGGTCAATAGGGGCTGTGGGGCCTTTCATTAACCCTGTAAAGGGTCGTTTTAGCACATACTGGCTTAAGGAAAATTATTCAAAACTGTTTTAAAGTTGCAAAGTATCCTTTTAATATCACCTCTGTCATCCTCGGCTTCCTGAGTGAGAACCTTAAAGTCCAGGAACCAGGTTTCGACCCAGGCCACCACGAACGAGGTGATGGGTAAAACGTAGCCAAAGGCATTTTTGGACAGAAGCTATACAGACGAAAAACACACAAAAGAGGACTTTTACTACAACACCCATGCTTATGTACTCCTTTAAAAATGAGTGCAGAAGGTTTAAAACTTGAAGTTAAAGTTGAATGTTGAGAACATCAGTCTGCTGTTAAAAACAGAGGCTGTGGCCATACGCCATCAACCATGGAAGTGTCAGACTAGCAGCAGGACACTCACGTCTGATATGATGACCTTCACAACCAGGAAGACTGTGGTGACAAGAGTGGAAAACTGCAACAAAGATCCAAGTTCTTTTTCACTGACAGAAAAGACGTGCAGTTTGTTTTACTGCTGCGACTGAGCCAACTTACCGCAATAACCCACCAGTGCTTCAGGCGAAACGCCGCATAACCAACTTGTAGGCAAAGGAAACGAAACACAGCGAGGAGCTGAAAGGACGAGGAAGCAAAAACTTCACGAGGTAAAGCTTGCAAATGTCTCCCCTTTTTGTTAACAAATGTAGGTAAAAGGCTGAACTGTGCGCTTATTAGACTCAGAATGAACAAGAACTTACAACTATGTCAAAGAAGGAGGACCTGAAGTTATATTTGACCACCTGGTCCACTAAGTTTCCCCAGATTGTGCCGGAGATCTGCAGAGCAGAACAAAGTCAACATGATTCATCAAACCGATCACCACCACGCCTCTAAACGCTCACTCACATTCATCTCTATGATCCACAGGAGGGTGATGAAGAGGAGGTCAAAGGTCACAAAGAGACAGAAGGTTCGACGAACGTCAGAGATGGCTTTGCGCTTGGCAGGTGGAACCAGTAGGTAGGGAGAGGGGAGGGACAGCGACGTGGAGTAGGAGGCGTTCAAGGAGGCGATGGCAGGGAGGCTCCCCCCGAGCTCCGCGTAGTTTTCACCGTGCATTCCTGCTGTGAGATTGGACGCTCCGCCTGAAAACCAGACGCGTTATCAGTCCACCCCACCTCATGCCCAAACAGGTCCCACGCTCAGTCAACATCAGAGTAGGGATGGGTACTTTTGACATTTGAATCGATTCGGTACTAATTCCCGGTACTTAGGAATCGATACTGGTACTTAACGGTACCAATTTTCGATACTTTTGAGTGTTTATTATTTTAATTCTCTTTTATAATTAAATATATATTTTTCTCAATATATAACAATATTTGATAAATATCACGATAAATAACATACAACTGTTTGTATTTTAACATCATCCTTGTAGTTTTATAAGCTGATAATTAAACTGAAGCAAACATCTTTACTGTGAACTAAATTTACTGTGTATCTTCTTTCCTTTTACCGTCTTTTTTCATTTGATTTTTCCTACTGGGAAGTTAGAATTTCCGAGGAGAAAGCGAACGCACCATTAGCTGATAACAACGGTGGCAATGGAAGCTAACATATCAAGCTAACGTTATCTTTAACAGTTTATTTAGCTGCTGGAGCAGATTAAAACGATGATGCCTCACACTTAGATCGTTGTCACTGGTTTCATCTTCACCTAATCACCCGTCGCATTTAGTAAAGTGAAGCCAAACTTTAGAGCGCGTTCATGTTCTTCTAGTCGGAAATTCAGAGTTCCGAGGAGAAAGCGAACGCACCATTAGCGAAACGGAAGCTAACATATCAAGCTAACATTATCTTAAACATTTTATTTACCTACCGGAGCAGATTAAGATGAGGATGTCTCACTTAGATCGTTGTCGCTGGTTTCATCATCACCCAGTTACCCATCACATTTAGTGAAGTGGACCCAAGCTTAAGCGTGCGTTCTTTCTACCATGCTGCTCTGTTTACAACCGGCTCGCAGCGAGCGACGACATAACGCTCTTGCGCATGCGCAGCTGTCTTGGCAAATTCTCGTTATGAAGGACCGGTAACGAAACGAGGCACCGTTTGAAATGACGTGAATCGGTGCTCAGTCGGTACTATGGAATTCAGTCGGTACCTTAAAAAGTACCGAATTCAGTACCCATCCCTACATCAGAGTACTTCTACAAAGACAATAAATCCTCACAAGCTTCCTCTTTATTCTGGGAGCTTTTGAGGGAACGAGATGTCCTTTAAAAGATTTGACAGAAATAAATGTAGAGCTCACAAACTGCAGGGTGGAGGAGCAGAAGCAGTTAAATGGATCTGCTTCTTCTCACTATGTCAAATTAAAAAACCCTAGGAGCTTTCATAATGTTCAAAATAAAACACATTTTCTATGAAAGCTTTAGTTTTTAATCATTGTATATGAGGTGCTGATTTTAAACTAATACCTTAAAAATACTAGTTATAATTCTATCAAAACATTTTGCTTTTAAATCAAGACAAGACGGAAGTTCTCATCTTTGGACCAGAAATCCAGAAAAGGAAATTGCTTAGCCAATCGCCTGACCTGAATGGCATTACATTAATCTCCGAGAACAAAGTAAGGAACCTTGGTGTTATCTTTGACCAGGACATGTCATTCAAATCCCAAGTTAACAGGTTTGTAGGATTTCCTTTTTCCACCTCTGGAATATTGCTAAGATTAGAAGCATCCTTTCCAGGAGTGATGCTGATAAACTAGTTCATGCATTTATTACATCAAGACTGGATTACTGTAATTAATTACTCTCAGGAAGTCCACAGAATGTAGTTAAAAGTCTTCAGCTTGTCCAAAATGCTGCAGCTAGAGTTCTGATGAGAATTAAAAAGAGAGATCATATCTCTCCTGTCTTAGCTTCCCTACATTGGCTACCTGTTAAATTCAGAATATATTTTAAGATCCCTCTTCTCACATATAAAGCTCTTAATAATCAAGCTCCATCATACATCAGTGATCTGATTGTTCCATACGTTCCTAACCAAGCACTTCGCTCTCAGACTGCAGGTTTACTGGTGGTTCCCAGAATATCTAAAATTAGGATGGGAGGCAGATCTTTTAGTTATCAAGCTCCTTTCTTGTGGAACCAGCTCCCAGCTTTAGTCCGTGAGGCAGACACTTTGTCTACTTTTAAGACTAGGCTTAAAACATTTTAATTTGATAGGGCTTATGGTTAAAATCTGATGTTAGCCTAAATCTGGACAAATGGGGGAGTAGAGGGAGGTGGAGTGTACAGTCGGTAAAGACGGCTCTCCCTTGCCCTGCCTCCAACATGCCTCCATCTAAATAGGATAGATTATCCAGAGTTTTCTCTGTAGTTATGCTGCTATAGGCTTAGACTGCTGGAAGACACACTGACCACTTTCCACACTCGACTACTTTCTTCTACAATCTGCTCTTTAACTGTATTATTTCCTGCTATTTCAGCTGTTTAGTTTCTTTTTTTTTCTCTCTAAGTGTTTTTCTCCCCAGAAGAAGCTACAACGATGTTCTGCTGAGCTGTGGTGGCCTCATGGAGGGGGCCATCAGCTAGCACACTGCTGCTAACCACTTAAACATTCTTCCTCTCCTGAGAACACTTTACTTTCCTTGACATTCAATGTGCTACTGCTAGTTTACCCGTTTAATTATCGATCCACTAGTATAAATACAATAAAGTTTATCTCTCACCAAATAGAATATTTACTAAGAAATCACAACGTAACCATAGAGACATTACTTGGTATATATGGTGTGTGTGTGTGTGTGTGTGTGTGTGTGTGTGTGTGTGTGTGTGTGTGTGTGTGTGTGTGTGTGTGTGTGTGTGTGTGTGTGCGCTCTGTCTTCTCCATCCCCAGTGAGTCGTGGAGGATGGCTGATTATGAACCAGGATCCTCTGGAGGTTTCTTCCTGTTAAAAGGGAGTTTTCCTCTCAACTGTCGCTGCATGCTTGCTTAGTATGAGGATTGCTGTAAATTGCAATTTGCTGGGTTCCTTATGTAGGAAACATTTTTTCTGATTGGCTTAATGAACTGACCTGGATTGGAATGCTTATTGTGTGAAGTGCCTTGAGATTACTCTTGTTGTGATTCGGCGCTTTGTACATAAACTTGAATTGAATTAATTGACCACATTTCGCTTTAAATACTAATATTAAATATCTGGAACAAAATCTAGTTAAAAGTAGCAGTGTTGAAATTCAAATGAAAATTTTAAACTAAATATTTAGCCAATGTACTACAACGTCTACTATTTCTGCTTTAAAGCAGCCTGTGTGTGCGTGTCGGCTAAAGATTTAGGTTAAAGCTTTATCTTTATATTTAGATTACTAAAACTTGAAAGTTTAAATATTTAGATTTAACTTTATAAAATCAATAAAAATCTAAATGTGTTGTCACCATTGAGGTCTAAATTTATATTTAAACATTTACATATAAATTTGTTATTTCCTAAACACGTTTTGGGAAGTTTGGTTTAAAAAAGCAGTGATTCTTATTGTTGGGAGGAGATACGGGATACAACATTTTAGTATAACTGTGCTTCATATTCGTATTGTATACAATAACACCAAGAATATTAACAAAACCGTTCAGATGACAACACGTGCTGCAGTGGCTACATGTAAAACTTTGTGTGACACATTCAGGAAACGTGTTGTTGTTCTGGATCATGAAAATGTTCTGGTTACACAGACATCTGGGTTTGATCGAGCAGAACAGCAACAGCATTTTTGTTTAGAATCACGAAGATATTGTTTAAGAGATCCAGACAAGCCTGGTTTGGTTTCACTTTCGACTAGACCTGCTTGAAGGTGACTCGCTGAGTCTGGGAAATGCCCTCAGACTTGTTCGCTTCCGTGTGAAATTACAATATGTTGACGATGAGAAATTCTGATTTATTTGGTCCCATGACTCACGGCTGGCCACTTCTGCTAAAAACAAACACACCGCAAGAAACGGTATCTGTTAGCAAGTTCCCAATCATATAAAAACGTACAACTGTTCTTCGGAATAGCTGGTTAAACTCATATGACTTTCTCAGCACGTACAGATCAAATTGTAACAGACAAACTGATAAACACTCACCCTACTAACCCTTTTAGCTTCACGCTGGCTAGCAACCTTCTTTAAGTTCAGTCCGAGTCGCTAGCCGCTAAAGCACGATTAAAGGTAAATGAAAAACTTTATACCTCAAGTGGAAAATATCAAAGCTTACGCCATGAAAGCTAGATTAGCGTTATAATTAAATCTTCTTCAAATGTCTTCATAACGCTAATTTAGTGTTTAAACTCACTTGATTCAGCGCAACATCATCAACTAGCAGGACTTCCGGGATATCGAAGATAAAATATTTTGTCAAGATGTTTCGCTACAATACTTTGAGGAAGTCGTGACAAGATTAGCCCTCGTATTTCTATTTCAGGTTTATTTTGAAGGTTTAACCGGATATTCAAAGACACATTAACTCAAACGCACTGACTGAAACGTCATACAAAAAAAACTCTTAAGAGTAAATTTTGGGTTAAAAAATAACACAAGCGAACATCGATGGGTCAGAATTAAATTTAGACAACTAGTCAAGATAAAAGAGTGTCTGGGTCTTTCTTCTAGGCCTTCTCCTGGTTGGACGTGCCCGGAAAACCTCACCAGCGAGGTGTCCAGGAGGCATCCTAGACACCCGAGCCACCTCACCTGGTTCCTCTCGATGTGGAGGAGCAGCGGGTCTACTCCGATACCCTCCCGGATTACTGAGCTACTCACCCACTCTCTAAGGAAGAGCCTAGACATCCTGCGTAGAAAGCTCATTTTGGCTGCTTGTATCCGTGACCTTGTTCTCTCTGCCACTGCCCAGAGCTCGTGACCATAGGTGAGGGTAGGAATGTATATCGACCCGTAAATCCTTCTGGCTCAGCTCTCTCTTCACCACGACACCACGCCCGCATCACTGCAGACGCATTATTATTTTTCAGCAAAATTATTTTCTCTAATTTTAAACATATTTTTAACAATTTCTTTGAAGTCTTTTTCATATTTTAATTTTTTTGTGAAGCGCCTCAAGATTTTTATCTTGAGAGGCGCTATATAAAAGATTGTTTTCTTTCTTTCTTTCTACCTAGAAAAGGCATTCTACCCCTTTATGACTCAAGACCATGGTCTCGGATTTAGAGGAGCTGATAATCTTGATGATCCAATGAAATCCCTGTAAATCTATGGAGTGTAAATACGTTATTAAAAGCGCTGTTTAGGAAGGTTAACAATATTGTGAAGAAATTTAAACTGGCACCCTTCATGTGGACTAAAAAATGTACTTAAATTAATTTACTCATGCACAAACAACACACATGAACCCAGCCGAAGGAAGAAAAGAAATTTATTTTGATATCATAGAATTATTCGTTTAAAACCAATCACAAAACATTAAGAAATATGAGAACAGAAACTAAGAGAAACAAAGACAACATAAGTAACTTCCAACAAGTCTTTTTGTGTGATTTCCCTCTGATCCAGGAGCAGAAAATGTTCAATAGAGATGGAGGGAGAGAGGGGGGGGGGGGGGGGGGGGCAGTAATGGTCTCAACACACAGCCTACTGCTCATCCAGGCAGGTTACAGGTAGAAAACAAATCAGACATTTATGTACAAATATCAGCCCAGATGAAGCAAACAGCAAATGCATTCACTCTGCGGCACAACTGGAAATGTTTGCACATCAGGTTTGGCATCTCACTGGAAACAAATCATTATAAGTTACAGTGACTTTAATTATAGCTGAGTCACTCGAGTAATAAAACAGTGCACGATGTTTGTGTTTGGAGACGATTTTGCTCCAGAATCCAGTTTGTTTTCAGGCTCTTTGTGTCACACGTGGACCCGTGAGTCTTTTGTGGAAAAATAGTTATTCCAGCAGGTCCATAATAAACTCATCATAGGGGAACTATCAAAAGTAGACGACATAAAAGAGTAAATGGGGTTTTGAGAGTGAAAATTATATTTGAAATGAACTCATTTTCCACTGAAGGATACAAATTCTGATTCAAATGTGTAACAAATGTGTAATAAGGATGTATTTGAAATGTCAAAGTAGTTTTACTTTTCAAGGATAAAATTCAGATAAAAATATATAGATCTATAAGAAAACTCTACTGTGTTGCAAGAATAAAACTTTCAAGGGTTGGCATGCTCACGGTGTGTTTTTGGACTTCCCAGATGATCTAGTTTAATGTCTTTGGGTTCAATCTTCAAGGACAGTTTCCACAAAATGCTTCACATCTTACAGTGATCTGATCGATAAATTAACACATTTAGAAGCTGCTGCTAAAGAGATGTGGCAATAGAAAGGACAGGAATTAAAGTAGTCAATACAACTAGATGAGTACAAGAGATACGAAAAGATGGCTGCAGTGGTGGCGTTTTGTTTCACCACTAGATGACAGCATACACATAGGGATGGTCAGTACAATGACGCAGGCCCTGATTTCAGAACACATGCCACATGTTTTAAGACCTTTAAGTGCTTCCAAACAGGTTATATAATAGATGCTGTGAGTCTTGATTTGTACCCGAGAACGTTTTCAGCCTTTTTAACTCCGAGCTGCAGAATAAAAGTGAAGGGAGGACATGCTGACATTGACCCAGTGGCTCTCATTAGAAAAAAGGAGTCACTGAGGCCAAAGGGCGTCTGTTCTCTGCTCTGGTGGTGGATCTCTCCTCACCTGCTCATGAGATCTGACTGACTACCTCCTTGTCCTCTCCTTTAATGCCAGCAGACCCATTAGAGGTGAAGCAGGACGTGACTGTTGATGAAATCTATCCTTCAGTTTGACTCATCACGTTGAACCATTTCTTTGAACTTCATGATTTAACTCCACTTTTTTCTTATAAAATCCCTCCCAATGTTCTCCCTCTCTCCCCTTTCTCTTTCAGTTACACTCCCGGCGGTTCTTTTCCAGTTTGTTCTCCTCCTTGTCATCTTCTTCTTCGTCCTCCTCGTCTTCCTCCTTTGGTGTTTCAGTCTCGTTGGTCATCGCTGTCATGCTGGGAAAATGTTCTGTGGTTGCTGTTTCTTGATGATCTGAGGAAATACAACTTAGCATTAGAAACCCAGAAGTGCATTCATCACAGCCATTTTTAATCTTTGTTTTTCAGGGGAAATCAGAGCTTCACAGGTTAGCTTTTCTCAAATTATAATTCTGACATTGAAAGACCTTATAGATCTCGCTGCACCAGTTTGTGAGAGATAACCAACAAGCCAACAAAGACCTCCTAGGAAGTCATCTAAGCTGGATGAGCCCAAACTTGTCAGCAAGCAGGCCAAAATCGACCAGGTGAAGTCCTGGTGGGCCACAAACGTGATTCCTTGCTGACCTTCACTGGTAATAACAGGCCCCCAGATGTAAAGTGAAGCCACAAATCCCAAAACATGTCTGCGAATTTTACACATGGTGGACTGAAGGATGATCAGCAAAAACAGGAAGCACCGCTCAAATATATTTGTCGATGTGGCTGAGGCTGTGAGAACTTGCGTGTGGTTTCTCAAATTTATTGTATTTTTAACCTTCCCACTGTCCTAATGGGTGTGACCCCACGAGGAAAGTTGACCATTGAGCAGGCTTGATGGTTTATCCCTTGGGTCCACGTGGCAGGGGTGAGGAGTGAGCACCACCTCACCCCTGCCACGTGGACCCAAGGGATAAACCATCAACCCTGCTCAATGGTCAACTTTTCTAAAGGGGTCGCACCCATTAGGACAGTGGTTAAAAACAGTGGTGTGAAAAACTATTTGCCCCCTTCCTGATTTCTTATTCTTTTGCATGTTTGTCACACAAAATGTTTCTGATCATCAAACACATTTAACCGTTAGTCAAAGATAACACAAGTAAACACAAAATGCAGCTTTGAAATGATGGTTTTTATTATTTAGGGAGAGAACAAAATCCAAACGTACATTGCCCTGTGTGATAAAGTAATTGCCCCCCTTGTTAAAAAATAACCCAACTGTGGTGTTTCACACCTGAGTTCAATTTCTGTAGCCACCCCCAAGCCTGATTACTGCCACACCTGTTTCAATCAAGAAATCACTTAAATGTGAGCTGCCTGACACAGAGAAGTAGACCAAAAGCACCTCTAAAGCTAGACATCATGCCAAGATCCAAAGAAATTCAAGAACAAATGAGAACAAAAGTAAGTGAGATCTATCAGTCTGGTAAAGGTTATAAAGCCATTTCTAAAGCTTTGGGACTCCAGTGAACCACAGTGAGAGCCATCATCCACAAATGGCAACAACATGGAACAATGGTGAACCATCCCAGGAGTGGGCGGCCGACCAAAGTTACCCCAAGAGCGCAGAGACAACTCATCCGTGAGGTCACAAAAGACCCCAGGACAACTTCTAGAGAACTGCAGGCCTCACTTGCCTCAATTAAGGTCAGTGTTCACGACTCCACCATGAGAAAGAGACTGGGCAAAAATGGCCTGCATGGCAGATTTCCAAGACGCAAACCACTGTTAAGCAAAGAGAACATTAGGGCTCGTCTCAATTTTGCTCAGAAACATCTCGGTGATTGCCAAGACTTTTGGGAAAATACCTTGTGGACTGATGAGACAAAAGTTGAACTTTTTGGAAGGCAAATGTCCCGTTGCATCTGGCGTAGAAGTAACAGCATTTCAGACAAAGAACATCATACCAACAGTAAAATATGGTGGTGGTAATGTGATGGTCTGGGGTTGTTTTGCTGCTTCAGGAACTGGAAGGCTTGCTGTGATAAATGGAACCATGAATTCTACTGTCTACCAAAACATCCTGAAGGAGAATGTCCGGCCATCTGTTCATCAACTAAAGCTGAAGCGATCTTGGGTGCTGCAGCAGGACAATGACCCAAAACACACCAGCAAATCCACCTCTGAAAGGCTGAAGAACAACAAAATGAAGACTTTGGAGTGGCCTAGTCAAAGTCCTGACCTGAATCCTATTGAGATGCTATGGCATGGCCTTAAAAATGTGGTTCATGTTTGAAAACCCTCAAATAAAGCTGAATTACAACAATTCTGCAAAGATGAGTGGGCCAAAATTCCTCCAGAGCGCTGTAAAAGACTCGTAGCAAGTTAACGCAAACGCCTGATTGCAGTTATTGCTGCTAAGGGAGGCCCAACCAGTTATTAGGTTCAGGGGGCAATTACTCTTTCACACAGGGCAATGTAGGTTTGGATTTTGTTCTCTCCCTAAATAATAAAAACCATCATTTCAACACTACATTGTGTTTACTTGTATTATCTTTGACTAACAGTTAAATGTGTTTGATGATCAGAAACATTTTGTGTGACAAACATGCAAAAGCATAAGAAATCAAGAAGGGGGCAAATAGTTTTTCACACCACTGTATATATGTATGTGTGTGTGTGTGTGTGTGTGTATATATATATATATATATATATATTCCTTTTTCCTGTCACGTCAAGGGGGAGCCACCACAAGTATATAATTGTGTTAGTTTAGTTAAATGGTGTGCATGCACGCTGAACTATTTCACATCATTTTCACCAGCCATCTCTCATTAAACAGTGACTTTCCCTTAACAGACTAAATAGCTCTCTGTTTTTGTTTTTATCTTTGTAAGGTGACCTTGGGCTTGAGAAAGGCGCCCTCAAATAAAATGTATTATTATTAATTGTTTCACCCCTGGGATGCTGGAGAAAACCCCTTGAACTGCAAGTAAACAGCCAATCATATTTGGTTGCTAGGGAGAACTGGAGATTTTTGGCAAATCAGAATTCCCTAATCCCTGATTTCTACATACACAAAAGACCCAACACTCTCAAATAGTGTTCTAAATCTATGTGAGCACTTCATCTTCGCTAAGATAATCCGTCCCACTTCACAGGTGTGGCAAATCAAGGTGCTGATTTGACAGCATGAATATTGGACATGTGGACCTTAGACCAGACATAATTAAAGGTCATTCTGAGATTAGCAGTCTGATCTCACAGCACAGACGTTTGAGGGAGCGTACTGTTGTCATGCTGACTGCAGGAATGTCTACCAGAGCGGTTGCCCGTTAATTGAATGTTAATTTCTCTAATACAAGCTGTCTCCAAAGACATTTTGAAGAATGTGGCACACTTCCAACCAGCCTCACAACCAAAGATCACATGTGACCACACCAGCCCAGGGGCTTCACATGCATGTTCACCTCCATGATCATCTGAGACCAGCCACCTGGACAGCTGCAGCAACAATCGGTTTGCACAACCAAAGAATTTCTGCACTGTCAGAAACCGTCTCAGGGAAGCTCATCTGCATGCTTTTCATCCTCTTCGGGGGCTGGACCTGACTGCAGTTTATTGCTGTAACTGACTTGAGTGGGCAAATGCTCACATTCAAAGACGTCTGGTGTTCTGTTCACGGATGAAACCTGGATTTTCACTGTTCAGGGCAGATGGCAGACAATATTCAGCAACTTGGCACAGCTATTGACCCTTTGCATGTGACATCACGTCGCTCATGAGACCGCTTAACCATTACGGACGATAGAAAGACTTAACACAGGTTGAAACTTCACTGAAGTCAGTCAAAAGAAGCCTGTTTGTAACCTTTTATCACTTTTATTTTATCGATTTCACATAAAATATTAACCCACTCAGGCTCAAAATAAGTTTTGAGAAAAGGATGAACAACTAAGTCCTTCAGAGGTACTTCTGAGTTAAAAATGCTCGTGAAATCTGTATGTGGAGAAACCAGGTAGGTAGGTTTTAACGTTGCAAATCTGCAACGCCTGCCTCCAGAGGGTTAATACAGGGTGGGCCGTTTATTTGGATACACCTTAATAAAATGGGAATGGTTGGTGATAGTAACGTCCTGTTTGTGGCCCATTAGTATATGTCAGGGGGCAAACTTTTCAAGATGGGTGGTGACCATGGTGGCCATTTTGGAGTCGGCCATCTTGATCCAACTTTTGTTTTTTTCAATAGGAAGAGGGTCATGTGACGCATCTAACTTATTGGTAATTTCACAAGAAAAACAATGGTGTGCTTGGTTTGAATGTAACTTTATTCTTTCATGAGTTATTTACAAGTTTCTCTTTGTTCACAAATTGTGTTGATTTCTGGTGAACACAGTAACCGGGTCATTGCAGCAGATTTCTATGCAAGACACCATACAAGACCACCCATCCCCCATGCTACAGTGAGCAGACTGCTTGCTAAGTTTTGTGAAACTGGTTCAGTGTTGGATTTGCCAAAATGTGGACGCATAAAAACTATCACTAATGAAGAAACATCAGTGGCTGTCCTAGCTTCATACAGCAAGAGTCCACAGCGTAGCACTCGCCGCATGCCACTGGAGAGTGGCATCAGTCGAACATCCCTTTGGGCGGATATTAGCTACTCACAAATGGCACCCTTACAAACACCACCTACTGCAGCATCTCAACAAGGATGACCGAGATCAGTGCACAGAATTTGCAGAATGGGCAAAACAAAAATTGGAACAGGACCCTCAGTTCACACAGAAGATTTTGTTCAGTGATGAGGCAAACTTTTATGTGAATGGTGAAGTTAACAAACAAAACCACTGCTATTGGTCTGACACTAACCCACATTGGATGGATCCCTCCAAGACTGTTAGAACAAAAATGTGATGGTATGGTGTGGTTTACGGGGTACAAAGATAGTGGGGCCATTCTTCATCAATGGAAACCTCAAGGCCACTGGATATTTGAAATGACTACATGATGATGTGCTTCCCTCTTTATACACTGAAGATTGCATGTTCCCTGAGTTTTTCTAGCAAGATGGTGCACCACCACATTATGGGTGTCCGGTCCGAGCATTCCTGTAAAGTGGATTGGTCATTGTGGGCCAGTTGAATGGTCCCCAAGGTCTCCCGATCTGATCCTCTTAGACTTTTATCTTTGGGGCCATCTGAAAGCAATTGTCTAAGGTGTGAAGATACGAGATGTGAAGCACCTGAAACTACGGATATTGGAAGCCTGTGCTGGCATTTCTCCTGTGGTGTTGCCATCAGTGTGTGAAGAGTGGGAGAAGAGGGTTGCATTGCCAATCCACTGAACACATTTT